ATGGCTATCCCAGACTTGCTCCATTCTTTAGCAAACTAGTGTGGAGTGAAGGGTTCACTATCATGGGCGACTCCTTGCATCATGCTAAGAAACTTTGGCCTAATGATTTTCAAGATTTTTGGTAAGCCTATATTATTTTTTATTTATTTTTGTAGCATTTTTATTTTTTTAACATGCATGCACTTATGCTAATATAAGCTTAAGCTATTAGCTACGGCCATGTTTGATATCAATTGTAGTTTATAATTTTGGGTTTTTTTTTTAAAGTCATATGATAACTTTCATAAAAATTGATTTTTAAAAAAATCAATGAGATCACTATGATTTTGAAAACTAACAATAAAAAAGCAAATCATTGTTTGTAGTTTCTTTTTTTAGTTTATGGAAAAACAAAAAAAGAAACAAGTGTCCCCAAGTTTTTTTAATTTATGTAGAACACATGATAGGCCTGCATAATAATTAATAAGGCATGTATTGTATTGAGTGTGTTTATTTATTTTTTATTTTCTGATGACCAACTTAACAATATTTTTTTTCGTAAAAAAAAAGAAAAGCTTAACAACATTTTACTTTTTTTCACACTACTTTCATTCCTGTTATGTTTATACTAACTTTATTTCGTACTTTTACATTGAATGATCTTAATTTGATCCTCAAAAACTTGTTAAGATATGTAGGGTTATCGGAGATGGATAAAGGTATATTGGATAGTCAAATGTTCTATTATAACCAATACCTTTTGCCAACAAAACCTTGTCTCATTGTTTTCCATCTTTATAATGTAGCTTATTGATGTTGGAGTACCAAACAAGGATGAAGGACTTCGGTAACAAACTCAAGGGTTTGATTTTCAAATCACTCAACATACCTGTACCAACACTAGAGGGAACCGATAAAGACCTTTGTTATCCATTGAAACTAAACTCGTACTCGTCGTGCCCTAACCCGGCCCAAACAATAGGCCTAGCCCCGCACACTGATACCACCCTCTTTACAATCCTAAACCAAAGTAGCAATGTAAGTGGACTCCAAGTACACAAAGACGAACTTGGATAGATCTCGGTCGACCTGCATCCAAGTGCCTTAGTGGTGAATGTGGGAGATCTTTTGCATAATTTCAATTACAAGATTCCTAAGTGCAATTCATAGGGCAATTATCAACAATGAACAAAAATAAAGGTTATCCTTTGCATACTCTTATGGCCTTTCTGGAGACTTTGAACTCTCTCCCTATTTGGACTATCCAAAGTGAGGGTCCTTGTTTTAAGTCTTTAAAGGTGAAGGAATATGCAAGCCTTAGGTCTAACTACTTTGATTTGGTACTCTCATTAGTTAAGAAAAGTGGCTAGGATTAGTTAGATTAAAAAATATGTTTGGATTCCAGTTTGTTTGTTTTTATTTAAATTTTTAATTGGAGGGGTGAAAAAAAAAATTTACATTTGAAAAGTAATTAAGTTTGCCATTGATTATCCTAATACTAATGGTTCAATTATATGCTATAAGTATTTAGGCTTATCCGCAAGTAGAGACAATAAATCTCACTTAAAGTCATGATTATTATTATTAGAAATTGTGAATTATTTGTACTCTCTTCATCAATAAATTAAATGTTGTTTCTAATTTGACTATTTTTGTAAGATGATTACCTTCAAATTAGGATATCTGGATTAAGCTGAATTTGAAACTTGAACTCATACCCATATCTCATACAAGTAGTTGCGTTTGAATAACAAATAAATTCACACAAAATGAGAAATTCGATCAGCTCAATAAAAGACTATTTATATAAAAAAAAATAATTAAATTAAAAAAATACATATATAGCAAATATGAGAATCAGTTTATTAATAATATCTATCTTCAATATAATCTTGAAAAGGGCTTTAGCCTATTAATATATAGTTCTATTTTAGTGTGTACAAAAAAATATCTATCTTCAATAACTATTTATAAACAAGGCTCTCCCAAGTATCTACCAAGTACCAAAAGGAACTAAATTTAGATGATAGCTTAATTATTTTTTTCTACTTTAAGAAAATAATTACATTATCAACGTAACAATTAATTCTTGATGGGGAGAGTAATAATTAAAATCTCACATCAACCTTGGCAATATTGGAAACATCAAGAGTTTGTCTTTATGATAATGTTTCACTGCAGCATTGTCAAAGTGTGGTTCCCTAGTCTTATAGAGGTTCTATCAGTGGTGGGTGATGCGTATTTTTATGGGCTCTTCAGGAAATTCGGGGATATGAAGCTATTTAATCTAACCAAGACTAAATAACAACTAAATTGGTAGCTTTCTCGACAAAATATCATATGCAATTCTCTTGCTAAAACAATTCATAAGAATTGATTAATTATAACTCAAAACTTCTCTCTCTTCATTAATGAAAATAAAGAATATTTATAGGCAAACATCCCACGCCGTTAGAATAACTGACTAAAAGATAAAATAAAATATATAAAGATATAAATACTAAATACTAATCCTAAATAACAAAATTTATCTTCTAATAATATTAGAAAATAATATCTTATCAATCTACTAATTCTACTCCAACTCTAATTCGATTAATCACGCGTAACTTTAGGATTGACGCCACTCAACCTCATGATTAATAGACGACTCAATAAAAAAAATGATGATATTGATGCCTTGGATACGCATCAGTGGGCAAAAAATCCGATCTGAAAAATTGGATATCCACTCTGGTTTTTTCAATTTCGGATATATTGGATCGGATATCCAAAAAATTTCGGATCAGATTCGGATCACGAATTTAGAAAAATCAGATATCCGATCTGATCCGATTTTTCAATATAAAATAAAATTATAAAAATATTAACTAATTTGTAACAAACTCCCACTTAGAATGTTAGCTCTAATTATAATGTAACGCTGTATTTGCATCTTGGATTTTTAGGAAGTGATTTTTTTTTTTTTTTTTACAAGTATTTTTTGGTTGCCTTAATAATCAAGTGAATTGCATCATTGTGCTTGAATTTGTTGCATTTATTTAAATTTTGTATAATTAGTACGAAAGTTTATAAAAATTAAGATTTAAAACAACTCCAATCAAGGGCATTTTACCAAAAAGAAATACCCAAATTTCGATATTAGTATGCGGATTGGATATCCGGTGATCTGATCCGAAATTTTGGATGTTCTAAAATCGGATATCCAGTTTTTTCGGATCGTAATTTTCCCGATCCAAAATTTTCGGATATCCCAAATTTCGGATCGGATATCCGAAATGGCCAGCCCTATATAGAGGCAAGGGCATTATTGCTTCTGAATTTTTAATCTCTATAGACCATCTATAATAACATGTACATGATCGAGGTAGATGTACTTTTTACAAATTACAACGACTACTTTTAAAGACATGGTACAAGTAGTAATTTTAGTAGTGTGCATTAGAGCACTATCACCAACGAAAAAAATCCCTTCTCACTCTCTTTCTCTATCTTTCCCTCTCCTCCACATTAGATTTTTTTAAAAAGTATTTTTTTCATCCCACCAACAACAAATTCAAAGATTCCCACACCACTTTCTTTCTTACTTTTTACCATATCCTACCATATTCTCTCTTACCTATTTTTACTTTTTTACTAGATGAAGCTCGTGCGATGCAATATTTGTTTGTATTTTTTAAAACATATATTTTTGTATGCATGTGATAATATTTGTTATTTTATTCGTTCTACGTATTATATCATTTAAATGTTTTTTGTAAATAAATTGTGATTTTCCTCTCATTCAGTATATACTAGATATAAGTTCATGCGATGCACTTTTTTTTTATATTTCATTTTGTATATTTCCAGTAATCTCTTAATATCTACCATTTTTTTTTTGTGTGTGTGTTTTTTCTATTCTAATTTTTTAACATAAATTTAAGGCATAATTTTTTCCTTAGTTTTAAAATAATTATTCTTATTCATTAGTTACTATAGGGAATTTTTCAAACTCAACCTTTTGAGCCCCACTATGTTCATACTTTTAGACATGGCGACACTCCAAGGGAAGGAAGCTAGAGATAGAAGAGTCGCCAACAAATTTTAGGAACTTGTAAACCGTTCACAGGTGTGAAGGTTACACCCAATTCACGATCACGGAGATCGCTAAATCCATAGTGGTCCGGAACCATGATTGTATATTCGAGGATGATGGTATGAATCCAACCTAAAAGAGATTGAACCAGCCTTAAATCGGCCTCTACTCAATTCTTATGATATTCATGTGCTCTTTTCGATTAACATGCATACATAAAGTTAATCCTAAGAATATTTAATCTACGTTGGTTAATTATTAATGCACAATCAAATCTATTATTAGTGGTCACTTGAATTAAAATCATATCAACCTAAAATCAAATTATTAATTATCTTATTAGCGTGATTTCAAGTACAAATAACTTTTAAACCTGCAAGAAGGGGCGTGATCAAGCAATAACAATCAATCATGAATAATCAAGGAATATATAATTAAGGAAAAATTAAAAAATAACACCATAAATTTCACAAAAAATGGATTATAACACCACAAAATCTCAAATTTTTATATAACACCACAAAAAAAAATCCAAAAATTGGATTTCACCACCCACTAACGGATTTTTGGATGGAATCCGTTAGTGGGGCCCACTAGGAACACGTGTCAATAAGGTGTTGGCTTAAAAAAAAAAGATTAATAAAAAAAAAGTAAAATTAAAAATTTAAAAAAAAAAAAAAAAAACCTAAACCCTAAGTAAGCTACTAGCCCACCACCAGCCACCCTTGCCCCCCACCGCCGGCAGCCAATCCCTAGCCGCCGACACCCCTTGTCCCACAAAAATCGGCGAAAACAGCCACACCACCACCCGCAAAACCGGCGACTGGACCCTTCCGACCTTCCCTTATTCCCCCTCCTCGAAACCTCCTTTCAACCGCCCAGAAATCGACATCCTCCGCCTAGAAATTCGCCGCCCACAAATCGAATTTCGCCGCCCAGGAACTCACCCCAGCCACTTTGAACCACCACGAAAACAACGCAACCCCTCAACATCACTAACTCCTACATTCTGGCAGCGACAACCGCACAAACCACCTATATCCATCACACAACCGCAACATCACAGAAATTGACCATTCTAGGGCTTCCATGATCGATTTCGGGCGTTTTGGGGTGAGGGTAAGTGATGAGTGGGTCGAAGGGGTTGACGACCAGTGATTTTGACGATGTAGAAGGGGTTGTCGGCGGCATTGGGGTTGCCAGCGGTGGAGCGTATGGCTGCAGGTAGTGGTTATGGGCTGGGTTAGGGTTTTGGTTTTCTTTTTTTTTTTAATTTTTCTTTTTCTTTTTATTTATATTTTATGTTGTAAACCAATGTGGTATTGACACGTGTCCAGAATTGGTCCCACTAACGGTTTCCATCCAAAAATCCGTTACATGGTGGTGAAATCCAACTTTTGGATTTTTTTGTGGTGTTATAATAGAAGTTTTAAATTTTGTGGTGTCATAATCCATTTTTTGTGAAATTTGTGGTGGTATTTTCTAATTTTTCTTATAATTAATTGACACATCCATCATCATTATAATTAAAATCATCAAATTATCGTTAGCAAGATCCTAGGCATGATACTAAACGGGTTAATAACAAATCTTAGCATGTCACTAATAAAAATCATAATCAAAGCATTATCCTAAACATGATACTATAAATCATAATCAACATCCTAAACATGATACTAGAAATCATAAAAACATCCTAAACATGATATTAGAAATCATAAAAACATCCTAAACATGATACCAGGAATTAAAATAATATTATAAACATGATTTCTACTCCAAAATCAAAATAATAATAAGGGTGGTCGAATTACCCACGTTGTTTTTCCTCCCTTCTTGCTATTAAAACAATAAACACGTTAGTAACTTCAAGAAAGATTAAATCAATAAAGTAAGTACATTAAGTAATAATTGAAATAGAGATTAAGGACCAAACCCTCAGAACTATCAACCTTTCACATCGAGGTCAAAGGCAACGTCGAGAAGGGCAAGGTGTATTCAAATCTCGTGAAGGAAGTATGGTGTTTATTAGGGAGAGTATCAAGGATGTGTTTAGGATAGGCTAAGAACAAGAAGAATTAAGAGAGAAAGAAAGTTTTAGAGAAGGTATTGATGATGATTGTTGGTGATTGGAAACGGGGTGATACGACCTCTATTTATAGGGAAAAAAGAGGGTCGAAGCATTAGAAAAGAGTCAGAATTCAAATCGAACTAAAACAAGTCTAATCGCGGCGTGACAGCTTTATCGCAGCGCGATGGCTCTGTCGCTCTGCGATGGTTTTGAAAAAGATAGAATTCGTGCGGAATCCGCTTTCCAATCGGATTAGGTCATTCAAATTCCCGTACGTATTCTATTTTGACCGGGATTAGGATCATTCAAAAAGAGATGTTTCATTCGATATCAAATTCTCAAATCTTTATCTTTAGAAAACAGGATAAATTAGAACCTTCTAGAACATTCTAGAAGCTTGTAATAAATCCTAATTAAGGTAAATGGACCCTCCACATGATCATTGGGCTGAAGGTAAGGCTTGGTTCGAGCTCGGCTTAGTATTTTGGCCATAACTCCTTCGTTATAAGTCGGATTTGGGCTTATAATATATCGCGGGAAAGCTCATTTCATTCCCCAATCAACTAACAATAATTTGAATAGAAATTACGGACAAAATAGACTGGTTTGAACGTTATTATGGATTTGACACGAAACGTTTGATTTTGAGGACACGAAATGAATGATTTTGGCTTTAAAGACACGAAATGAATGATATTGGGATTAAAGCATTTTAGGAAAGGTTAGAAATATAGTTTAGGATTACGAAACTTCACGAGACTCTTCAACTCTTCACCTAACTCGATAATCAAAGACGTGAAAGGTACTCATCACTGGGTTTGGTTTTTGGGGAGGCACAATCAAGTGTCTACAGTTACGTATGTAGAACTTGAATTTATTAAGTTGAAATAAATATTTTTACATTCATCAGATAGTTGGATAAAATCACCAAAATCAAAAGAAATTTTTTAATTTCTAAATAGTTTTTTAATAATTTAAATCCTAATATAAAAGATAATTTTTGTTCTTTTTTATAATTTAAATCATAAATTACTATTTGTTGCTTTTTTACTTACATGGTTAAATTCTCAAATATCATTCGTTACTTTTTTTTAGCTGACGAATGAATTTCTTAATTCTAAAATAAAATATAAATTTAATTTTTGCACGGTTTTTTTTTTACGGATTTTTCACCAAATACCACTGAGTTATTTCGTAATTCACTATATACCACACAAAATTATTTAATACACCAAATACCACTGAGCTTTTGGTAAATGTCACAACATACCATTAATGACTAACGGACTTTAACATCGTTAGTCATTAAGGGTAATAATTCCACGTGGCAGCTTGTGATTGGTTCCCTTCTAAATTATTTAATTTTAGCATAAATATTTAATTAATTATCAAATAAAAAAAATAAAAACCAAAAAATAACAAAAATAATTAAAAGTAACAAAAATTAATTAAAAATAAAAAAAATAACCTGCTGCCACCAGCCAGCCCATTCCGGCCACCTCACCGCCAAACCCCTTGCCGCCGAGGCCAGAACCGACAGGTGCGCCGGCGGCCTCCCACCCCTTCCCTCCCTTTTCAATTCTGGCCACCCCACCCAAAACTCCCTTCCCCATCCTTTTTCGATTTCCGGCCTCCACACCCAAAACCCCCTTCCCCTCCCCTTTTCGATTCCGGCCACCTTCCCCGATTTCCCCTGCCATGATTTCCCCCAACCCCTTCGATTTCCCTTTTTTCCCAAACACCACCCCTAATTCATAAACCCTAATTTCACATCTAATCTCCATTTCCAACAATTTGTGTTGCCAATTGCTGTAAATTTTGAATCTAAACTAATTTCGCTGCAGTTTACCCCAATTTTAGGGGTTTTTTTTGCCCAAATTAAAAGGAATTCGGTGGTGGTCGGTGGTGGTGAGGTGCGAGAAAGGGGAGAGGACGGGGAAGGTCGTTGGGGCGCTGGTGTTGGGAGGAATGAGGGGAGGAGAGAGGCTGGGCATTGCTGACCGGGGGTGGGATTGCTTGGCGCCGGCAGAGGGGCTGGTGGCTGGCTTGGTGGAAGAAGGGGTTGGGTTTTTTATTTTACAAAAAATATTTAACTTATTTTTTGGTTTTTATTTTTTGTTACTTTTAATTATTTTTTGTTATTTTGTGGTTTTAATTTTTTTTTATTTGATAATTAATTAAATATTTATGGTAAAATTAAATAATTTAGAAGGGAACCAATCACAAGCTGCCACGTGGCATTATTAGCCTTAATGACTAACGGTGTTAGCGTCCGTTAGTCATTAATGGTATGTTGTGACATTTACCAAAAACTCAGTGGTATTTGGTGTATTAGAAAATTTTGTGTGGTATATGGTGAATTACGAAATAACTTTGTGGTATTTGGTGAAAAATTTGTTTTTTTTTATACATTTTGTATATTTTTTGAGAAAATACAAGTTTATAACTTGATAAACAATTCATGTTTATCAAGGGGTATCTATGTAATTGACAACTAACTAATGTTAATTGTCGTTAGTTGCTTTCCCCTACTCCTTTGATTTTCTCTCTCCTCCTTCAACCTTCAATTTCAATGGCGAATGTGCATTTCACTACAACATCGAGCTAGACGAAATCAATGGAGGAACGAAAGCTTACTACCCTTTAGGGTTAACCATACCCTTTATTTCTCCCTTTGATATTCACGTTCTCGTATAATTTCGGCGGTGAAGCCGCCGAAAATAGTGGTGCGTAGCCGAAATCAATGGAGGACAAACTCAGCTATCCTTTAGGGTTAACTATGCCTTTTATTTCTCTCTTTGTTATTTGGGTTTTCGTTGAATTCGGCGGCAAAGCAGCCGAAAATGATGGTGCTCGCAAAGTCGGACGACTTGGAAAGAAAATGAAAGTGGTTGTAGATTGGAGGAAGAAGATAGAGGTGGAAGGGAGGAAGGAAAAAGAACAAGAGGAAGAAGAAGGTGGGAAGAAGAAGATGAATAGGAAGAAGGTGATGAACAGTTGTTAACAGTGAGTTAAACCGTTAACTACAAAATTTCTGTCAACATTATTAAAGTGGCCCAAAAACAGTAAATATAAATTATTTTAATCAAAAAACACAAATTTTAATGCAACTTATTTACAAAATTGTCATCTGATAAACAAATTTTATTTATCAAGGTGACAAACTGGGTCTTGCTCATATCTTTTGTGACTCTTAATCTCTAATAACTTTTTTTTTTTGCTATTTAAAATTTTTGACAAAAATTTCAAATCATATCACTAATGTATAAAGCCGGTCTCACAGCCAGGCCACGAGATAGCGACACTTGGCATTCCAATTTTTTGCCAAGTGTCGCGCCACGTAGACGACAGATAGATATTATTGTAATTAGAATAGATGCCACATTAGATTAGATTGGATAGATTTTGTAAGATAAAAATATTGTATAGAGTTTTATAATCTATATACTTCTAATATTTCATTTATACAAAATTAATCATAACTTTTAAATAATATCTTATAACTTAATTTTATTTCCATCATAAAATTCGTTTTAAATTTTTTTTTAAAATAAGATCCACTTATAATATAAAGCCGGTCTCGCAGCCAGGCCACGAGACAACGACACTTGGCATTTCAGCTTTTTCGCCAAGTGTCGTGCCACGTAGGAGATAAATAGGTATTATTGTGACACATATGATGCTAAGTAAGGGGCTATTGGATAGATTTTTTAAGATAAAATTGTTGTATAGAGTTTTATTATTGATAAAATTATAATATTTCATGTATACAAAATTAATCACAACTTTTAATAAAAATCCTAAAGCTCAATTCTATTTTCATCATCAAATTAGTTTGAAAAAGTTCTATAAAATAAGATCTATTTATAATATATTTAATCACAATCTTTTATACGTAGTTGGCCAAACCTAGATTTATTTTAAAAAAAATATTAGAGAATCAGTAAAAATAATTTTAGTTTGGTAAAAAATACTTTCAATTTATAGTGAAAAGAATTTAAGTTCAATAAAAATAATTCATGTCAATAATAACATAGATATCTATTTACAAACAAAACTAAAAAAAGTACACTCTATATGATATCGTATGTTTAAATAATAAATATCCTACATTATCAGAATGAATTATTTGGTCGTATTTAACATTCAAGTAAATATATTATCTTAAAATTTTATCAACCATCTGGGCATTGCCCGGGCACAAAACTAGTAAATGTTTAAAGTAGGTAAAGTTTTTTCTTGCGTTATAAGTTTTAAAATTTTGTATCTCATTCTTCGGATATTAAATTAGTTAAAATCATTAATATCAAATGATAATTTATATCATTTAAATATAAAAATATAATTTTTAGCTAATAAAAAAATTTAAATCCTAATATCCAAAGATAATTTTTGGTTTTCTAATTTTTGGTTCTTTAAAACAAAAAAAGATAAATTTAAATAATTAATATCCTAATAAATTACTATTCGTCGTTTTTACCTACGTGGAAAATTCTTAAAATCTCATATGTCACTTATGCTTAGGTGGCGAGTGAATTTTTTAATTCTAAAATAAAATACAAATCTCATTTTTTATTGGTCGAAATAATACCTTTGCTTATGTGCCGCGTCAAATGCTCTCGAAAAATGTCTATTTTATTTATATCGGAGTATACTAGATTAGATTTAGATTAAATTTTTTAATATCAAAAGATAATATTTTATATTTTATTAATTTAAACATTAAAATCTCATTTGTCAATTTTTATTATGTGGCATTTGAAAAATTTAATTTTAAAAGAAATTATAAATTTCGTATTTAATTGGTTATAACTAAAATTTATAATCCTTTAATATGTTTCCAAAATGATATGGATCATCAAAATAATAAAGTTGAGCAATGAAAAATTAGAATGATAATATATCTTAAATAATATTATTATTATTATAATATATTACCTCATCTATGTTAATTTTATACCTAATATGTAATATGTGGAGGACATGTGAAAATATTCTAGTTGGGCGTATATGGAAAAATAAGATTTCCAAACCAAGAAGAAAATATTATGGGTTATAAAATAGTTTTAATGAAAGTTGACAAGAAAAAGGAAAGAAAAAATGACAATTTTTTTTTCACAAATTCTTATATGTGGCTAGCAACACCATGTTATATGGGTTACTTGGTTAGTGTTACAAAGGTTACTTCGTAAGTGTTACAAGGGTTAGTCGGTCAGTGTTATAGGGGTTACTCAGTTAGTAAGGGGTTACTCGGTCAGTGTTATAGGGTCGGGGGTTACTTTGCTCTTTTACAAGCGGTCACACGGTGTGGTCAGCCGCACACAAGACGGACTGATTTTTTTTAAAATTAATATATAGCATTTGTTATTCATGGTTTCGCCTACTCACTCCTTTTTTATCTTTACATCTTGACTTTCATGGTTAACTTTTTAAAACTTTAACTATAAAAACTGGCTTATTATAAACATCAAAACCATATTATGTGGGATTATCTTGTTAGATTTGTCACGAAATGTGTTTTTTAAATATCATTTTTATAATAATTTTACTTAAATCATGTTGAAGCATGTTGAATATATATAAATGGCCGATGTACATTGAGACTGTGAAATTCAAAACGTAAAGAATAAAAAAGAACGGATGAGGTATATAGTTATAATGAGAGGCATAAAACTTACTTCTTTTTATTTTAATTTTTACTTGCAAACACTTCTTATTTCCCTCTTACAAGCCAATTTATTATTTCAATTGACAATATGTTTAATATCAATAATATATATATATATATATTATTATTATTATTATTATTATTATTATTATTATTATTATTATTATTATTATTATTATGAAAGTTTAAATTGAGATGATATAACAAGTTTTCACTTGACTATATTTTTTCTCATTGTCATCAAATAAAGTTAGTCAAAGTAGATAATATTTACAATATGAAAAGTGTAATTTAAAGGCATAGTGTTGTAAGTAAAAACAAAAGAAACGAAGGAAGTTTTAAAATAGTTAGGGGAGAGTTTTAGTTACATTAAACTTGTAACTTGGTCATGTGACTCTTATTCGTTGAGCTAATTCGGCTTGGTTAAAAGATCTATTGTAAGATCTACATATATTGAAAAAGTTGTTGATTTATTTACACAAATGCTATGTGATGAACAAACTTTATTTATCTCTTGTATTTTTTGTAACAAAGATGGACTTATATTTTCCTTTGTCTAGCTACCTACAATCTATCAAAATATATAAGTAACCATCACAGAGTGCTCGTTCTTTAGTTATGACAGGCTAAAATTGTATCACCTAATCAAAAGAATTATCTAAGTCCTCTAACTAAAGTAGATAGGGAAGTAGGGTCGAATCCACATGGAAACAAGTCTTTCTACTCCTAAATAATTAATATAATCTAGATTATCAAGTAACAAGTAAGAATTGTGAGAATTATACTACAGACTATAATTAAACTAATGGAATAATCAATAATAAAAAGCCTAGGGTATAGATTCACCAATAAATAATATTTCAGGGTAAAACACAACAATCAATCATCAATGCATCAATTAATCAGATCATAAAGGGCTTTCGCTACGTATTACAATCACAGAATTAATCTACCGGTATTAAATCGCATCTCTCGAATCTTGACTTAACCATTTATAAATTAACCTGCCTATTGAAACTAAGCCTAAACATCAATTCTCATCTGTCGAATCTCGAATCAATATTGCGTAACTCATACAATTAAACCAGCGCTAATCTAATTGCATAGCAGTAAGAA